ACATCTTGTTTTCTTTTGGCTTGCTTTTTTTTTGAGGTTTGTTTTGCTAGCATGTTTAAGTGTTCGAATTGAGAACTTTGTTTTCATAGTTAAAAAAGGAGAAAGCCTTTAATGCTATGAGTTTACCTCATAGCACCACATTGGCCATATCTTGTGAATTTCAAAAAGCACTGCTTTCTTCAAATGGTTTTCTAAAAATTCTGATGTTATGATTTGTTTCTAACAGTTCTGAAATTTCAGTTTGTTTCTTCCTTGATTTAAGGATAACTTAGTGGAGCATTAACAAATTTCCCAGTACTCTGTCTTATTTGGTTAGATTTTTGTCATTAGTTTATAGTTTTACTGAATGAGAAGATGCCCTGTGAAATTTCTGCTTCATGATATTTTTGGTAAATGATGTATTTGAAAAAGCAGAAATATACTCTGTATGTTGAATAAAGTGACTTTGTAGATTGCTTTTTTCAAGATTAACTTGTTATTTATTCCTCTTTGCTTTCTTGACCTGCCAAAAGCTGGATGATGTGGGTCACAGTCTTTCTCTTTAGCAGAATTATTTCCATTTTCACTTGTGTTTCTGATAGCTTTTGTTTTCACAAAGCTTTATCCTATGTTATTCATCACAAAAAAAAATTGTGACAGTTATATTTTCATTGCGGAATTGTGGATTTTATCTTTTGTCAAGATAAAATGACTATTTTCCTCTAGTGAATGCTTTTTGCTCTGAATTCTATTTTTTCATATTTTAATATGCTATCCCAGCTTTCTTTTGTTTGTGTCCCCTTCATATAGCTCTTTCTAGTCATTTTATTAAGTTTTCCATGACTTTCTGTTAGGTGCATATTTGGTAGGAACAGCTTAGAGAGTTAGATTTGGTAAATTCTGAAAGTCTTAACCAAATAACTTTTGTTTCTACAATAAATATATTTGATCATTCTTCTCTCGGTTTTGGGATGCTTTTTAATTCTTTATTCCTTAAACAGTTTTTTCTTGTTTTCATCTTTGACTATATGGGTTTGATTTTGTTCCTTTTTCTTCACTAATGATTTTAAAATTATATCTACTGCTATTAATCCTGTTTTTAGTATTTGAACTCCTATTACATTAATAACCACAAGGAGTGACAAAGCGGAGCATGCATCTTCTCTGGTGGGGTGAGGAGGCTAGTTGCTATGAATTCTGTTTTTCACCCATATTTGTAACAATAACTGCCACTTGATGCCTTGCTTAAGTGATGCTAATTTCAAGTCTTTTTAGTTCATTCCCTCCCTCCCTCTTCATTTTTATTCATATCTTGGTTGACTTTGCGAGTTAAATATGATAGTTTATGTGCTGCCTGCCTGCCAGCTGTGTGCCAGATCCCATGCTGGGTGCTGGGATGCATTGATGAAGAGGGGCTTCTAAGTTGTGTGTGTGTGCATTTGCACTCATGTGTGAATGTATATGTGTGAACAATATGCAAGCCCAGACCCTCTGAGGAGGGACCTTTGAGTGAGACTTGATAGAGAGGTAGCTGGTCCTGGTAGGCAGAGGAACCAGCAGGCCTGAAGGCTCTGTGTAGGGACAGAGCTTGGTGGCTGGAGTGTGAGCTGCAGGGGGTGGGGGGAGAAGAAGCAGAGACAAGATCTTTGTAGACAAGACCAACAAAGACAAGGGCTTTGTAGGTGCGGAGGGGTGGGTTTTATCTTCCATGCACACCATGTACTTCCTAGCTGGGGCTTATCTGGTTTATCTAAGAATAACTTTCTGTGGTCTCTGGATATATATGAAATGAGGAGAGAGAAAGTAATAGGCGTTGAGGTCAGAGGACAGAAAGCCATCCCATAAATAAGCAGTGTTCCTGAGGAAGTGCCTGGAACAAATGGAAAAGTAGAAATAATTGAAACTATAATGCAATCAGGCCTCCCTAATGCCGATCTCAACAGGCACCCAGCCAATTAAAAAACCAAAATTTATATATTCTGTGAATGAAAGTCTCTATTTTGAGGAGGAGTGGAGAAAAAATTATGCAGGAATTCGGGGTGGGGGTTGAAGTTGCCTACAAAGGGAAAAAAATAAGCTGCAGTCAGCACAGAAAGAGGCCAGGACACACGGAGTCAGCCCCAGGGGCTGTGAGGAGAGGTGAGTCTGGATTCTCTAGCCCTGTGACACACTCTATCCCCAGCTCAGTTGGGTGGTGCAGGATGACTTGAGACGGCTCCCCTGGTCTGTTAGCTCAGCTCACACCCCACAGGTTTGGCTCCATTAACTAGTTTCTCTTGTCCCTGTTAAGAACAGAATGCACTGGTGAATTCCAGAAGGTTTCCATCCCCCCCACCACCCAAAGCAAGAGAGGATTTTTCTCTGATATCCACTGTGAGGACCTGGTGTGGGAACCCCGGGAGTTTTAATCTCTGACCTGCCCACACTGGGCCCCCATGACCCCCAATTGGGTTTGAATTTCCCACCCTCTCTAGTTCCTCTCGTGGCCTCTGCTCCTGAGTTTCTGCTCCCGGAAATAGTGATTCTCTGTATCTGTCGTCTCTCATCTGGGGGCAGCAGTTTGTCCTGTCACCTCACTTTCCCGAGGGACCCGAGAAAGGTTATTGATTTTCAGTTTGCTCAACTTGGTCCTTGCTGTCAGGACAGATGGGTGATTCCCAAGTGCCTTACCGGGAAACCGGAAGCCGAAAGTCCCCTCTTGTGTCATTCGTGAGCATTTCCAAATAGTTTAGAGCATTTGTTCTTCAGTTTTTGGTATATGTGAGTGTTCAAGAGAGAGGGCTGTGAGCCCCAAACCCTTCACCTTTTTCTGCTCCAGTGATGCAGGCTACATGATGCTAGTCCAGCTCTGAGGGGGTTTTGGCCTGGCCTGGGGGGTCTCTTCCGCCCTCTCTCCCCGTGTCCTAGCCAGATTCTGGGTTTAGGCCGAGAAGGTAGGAAACATGCCCCCACTCAAGCAAGAGGCGTCTTGAGGCTCCAGTTTCTGTTTTGGCTCCGAGGAGCAGACACCAAATGAAAGAAAAATTTTCCCTGCCCCGTGAGGCGCGCCTCCCGTTGTCCTTGACTCCTACCAAGATGTCTCCTCTCTGGCACCGGTTTAAGTTGTGGGAGCTCAGAGTCTCCGACACGGCACTGTAGGGTGGAGCCGGCTGGGCCTCAGGCCTTCAGCCCTGCAAGCGCAGCCCTTCCCCGGCTCTGGCTCTGTCTGGCCTGACTCCTCTCTGACATCTCTCCTCCGCCAAGTGTGTTGTCTTCTCCGCCAACTTGCCAAATCTGGGCTGTGGAGTATAATTGTTCTTAGGGACTCAGAGTCTTTCGCGGGTTATCTTGTGCTTCCTACCATCACATTTCAAAGACGCGCTTTGATTCTCTACCTGGGATGTACCATTCCTCTTTTCCCTTGTAGACTGGTCCCCACTGCCCTGTTTGTGATGATTTTCCCTGAGTGTCCTCATCTGTGGGCCTGAGAGGTCTCTCCTTAGTGTTTGCACAAAAACAGGATGGGCAGATTCTCGTCCATCCTTCTCCCTTTTCCTCTGGCTGCTGGTTGGCTCCTCCTCGCACATTCTGTGTGTCCTGATGCTTGATTGGATCACCAAGCAGGTTTCTGTTTTTCTTTTTCAGGATTTATTTCCATTTGTGACTCTGTTAGCTGGAGGTAGGACCCCTCTCTCTCAACTCTTGGCTGCAAAGATAAGTTGATTAATGGAAATTCCTTCTTGGTCTGGCAGAAATCATTGACAGCTGGCCCAGTTTCTAGTTCCCTGGTGACTTGTCAATGCTTTGTCTGTGTGTCTCCTTAACATTTTGATTGAATGATGGATAAGGGGGTAACTGAAACTGGAAAGCCACCATTTGCAAACCAGAAGCATCCTCTGTGGAAGGGAGATTTTGATAAACAGGAGGGGAAAGTGTGGTAAATTTCTCCACTGAATTTAGAGTTCAGAAGGCATGAGTTGGCTTCATTCATTCATTCACTCATTCATTCATGACCATTTGGTAAGCTCTCGAGGCACATGACTATTATATTAGGTTCATGAGGGCCTCCCTGGAAGCTCAGGGGTTAAAGTCTCAGTGCTATCAAGCTATCTCCAGCCACTGTGGCATGAGTTTGATCCCTGGCCAGGGAGCTACCCACATGGCGCAGCAGACCTCTGTTGTCTCACCCACTGCTCCCCTCAGCAGTGTATTTCAGTAGATCCGCCTGAAATGCTCCCCACTCTGTCTCTGGTGAATCCTCTCACCCCCCACACCTCTGGCCTACACCCCAGTCCTTATATGCATAAATAAATTAAAATAAATCTTTAAAAAATTAAAAAATATATTAGGTTCATGAATATTATATCAGGTTCATGAATTTTATATCAGGTACATAGATAATATATCAGGCACATGAATATTATATCAGGTGCTTTATTCTGATAGGTGCTGAGAGAAAAGATGGATAGCTGGGGATCTTTGCCCTACGGGAATTCTTCCATCACCTGCTGCCTGGGTGTCTCTTGGAACCTGAGTGAATGACTCCACCTGCGGGTGCCTCATTTCACCCATAAGTAAAATGGATGAAAACTAAATACCTGAGGGTTTTGGGAGGTCAAGAGGATGTAATATACAAGCCAGGTCTCTACCTTACCTCTTGGCACAGGGGGCAGGGCCACCTCTGCTGCCTTCAAGTCTGAATAAGGTGCTTGGGATGCAGTCTGGGCTGGGGACGATGAAGGGGAAGAGAGGATTTGCTTATATCTGAACTGGTTCCAAGAGCTGCCCGGGCAGCTGGCTGGCACCACCGTGCCAGGGGTGAGGGGGTGAGGCCATGAGCTGCCTGCAAGTCTCTCCTCCTGCCCGTATGTCTCAAGAGGTCAGAACACAGAGGAAAGAAGTTTCTCATTCTGGGGGCTGCGAGGCTATCTTTATCTCCTGGGTCTTTTCTTAGGTCGCTGGAAAAGCATCTGTCCTTGACATTTTATTTTTTGGAAAAATGTTGCATGCATATTATATGCTAAGCACTGTTTTTGATTTTGTGATGGAGTGATGAAGTGATGAAAAAGACAACTCTCTTATGAACTTTTAATTTTTGGGCGAGGGAGTGGTGAGGCAATACAAAAATGAGCTGATTTCAAGGAGTGAGAATTATAAGAAAGAGAAAACTAGTGAGGGCATGGAAGGTGACTTTAGTTTGGGTGGCTGGGGGTGGGCGTCTTCTCTGGGGAGGTGACTTTTTCTGGAGAGCTGAATGTTAACATGGAGCTTCCTGGTGAAGACCTGGGGAAAAAATATCAAGTTGAGGGAGCAGCAGGTGCAAAGACCCTAAGAGGGAGCAGGGCATGGAGTGGAGGTGGGTATGGTGGGAGGTCAGGGAGGAGGTGAGTACGGTGTCCACACAGAATGCCAGGCTGAGCCTGGTGGTGGGTGTGGAGGAGGGTGGTGAGCTTGGGAGCTGTTTTGCTGGAAGAACCAACAGGACACCATGATGAAGCCATCCTAGGAAGGAGCACTGTCATGTATGCCCTCTGGTTTTTCACCCGAGACACAGGTGGGTGGTACCATTTGCTGAGATGGGAAAATGGGGAAGAAAAGGTTTAGGGAGAAAACCAGGAATCTTGTTTTAGGGCATATAAAAGCATAGATATGCATGTTGGTTTCTGACCTGCTGAAAACTGAGGCCAGATGCCCAGATAGCTGTGTGTGTGGGGGGTGTCCTGTGCTTCTCACCTGGGCACTGTAGACATTTTGATCTGTTTTGTTGTGGAGGGCCGTCTGCGTCCTGTAGGATGTTCAGAAGCCACCATAACCTCTACCACCCAGATGCCAGTAGCACCCACGCCAGTGGGTGACATTCACAATGACGGTCTAAATGTTTCTAGGCACTGCCGAACGTCCCCTGGGTGGGCAGAGTCACTCTGGGTTTAGAAACAACATGAAATCTTCACAGGACCTTTCCTGTCATAAAGAGGAATGGGAAGTTCTCAGCACAGGGGCCAGGGCTCTCCCTCCCTCACCTGGTCAGCATCCTGAACTGAGCGCAGTGCTTTTTCCTGCAGATCTCAGATACCGCCTCAGAATCTTTCTCCACACAGCCCATCGGCAGCCATCATCAGTGCTTGGGATTGGCAAGGAGATAAAACCCATTTATTCTCCCTGTTTTAGGATTATTAAAAAAAAAAAAGAACCCAGGATCCTCTGTGGCCCACACGGTGATCCACAGTTCACTGTGCCTCAGTGTCCCTGCCTGTCCGAGGGAGGCAATCCTAATTGCTTTCTATGGATCTGACGGAGCCTTAAGTGGGAGGATCAATGAGATAATCTTGGTAACTCAATTTGAGTTTTTGGAGGCGGGCAGAATATTACAGAAATGCACAGCAGGATCATTATCTCACGGGGTGCTGTGAAGGTGAACCTGTAAATAATTAGAAAACATTTAGCTGTTATAAAGTGCCAGGTTTAATAATGGGAATAATGAAAAAGGAAGGCTCTCAGAAGCGGGCGGGCAGGTTGCAAGGCCTGGCAATCGGCTCTCAGGCGACTGCTGCCAGAACAGAGCGGCGATGCTCAAGGCTACGGTAATCTGTGATGTTTTGTTCAGGTTCAGCGTAACCATGGTGACAGACTTTTCTCCTTCTTTCTGTGGAGCTGATTCTACACTCCTGCACATACGTAGACAACACACATGCCGCCCCTCTTCCTTCTACCCTGAGTCCTTCTAGTTGGGGAAGAAGGGGCGAGTGGGGGAAACCTGGAGATAAAGAGCTTGGTGGAATCTGGGCACCAGGGTTGTGGGTTCAAGTCCTGCCTCAGTCCCTTCCTGAGGGTGTGATCGTGCACAAGTTGCTCAGGCTCTGGGAGTCTGCTTCCTAACTTGCGAAATGAAGATAAAGTACTCTGCCCTGGAGTGATGGGCGATCAAACTCCATCTCCAGTGGGGAAGAGCTCTGTGGACTGCCAAGAACTCTAGAATGTGCTGTGATGTCAGAATGGACCTCAGGAACCCTGAATCACAGTAATCAAAAACAAAAATCTTGGTTAAATCCACCAACATGAAGCCCTTCGTTCATGATGTCCTCTCACCAGGCTGTGTGTGGCCTCAGCGTGGCTTTTTAAAAAATGTATTTAATAAGAGCTCTTGAGGCTAAAGCACTAAGAACTAGACCATGACTCTGGCAGCCTGTGTCTTGGAGCAGGGCTGAGAGCAAGGCTGGGACAGCCTGCCTGGGTGGGAGCACAGCTCGAGCATAATGGATGTGAGCATAATGGACGTGTATCACACGTTACTCAGATTCTCCTTGTCTGTAGAGTGGGCTAACAACAGAACCTAGTGCAGAGTTGCTGTTATGAAATATTAAATGAATCGATACTTGTAAAGCTTTTTGGGACCATATCTAGTTACATAGTGTTAAGTACATGAACTTTATTAAGCCTGATGCTCAATGCTTGATGTCCAGTATTAGGAGCGCTTGTTACAAGGTCATGGCAAGATTGGGAAGGGTGGACCAGATGTGGGTGCCCATGGCTGGGGGTATGGCGGGGGCAGGCCAGAGCTGTCCTCGTGCTGACACTGACCTGCAAGGGAGATTGGGGGCACTCTGATCAAATGTACAGATATCAGGCATTTGGGAGAGGGCATGGGGTGCAGAGAGATGGGGAGAGGATGGAGATGACTGCATCCCACCTGGGGGAACATCAGATGAGAAAATGTAACCTGTGGGACTCAGGTCTAAAGGGTAAACAAATAGGATCTAGTGGGTGAGTCTACAACATGTGAGAGACTTGGCAAGACTTTGGTTGATTATATATTTGATATAAAGATACATCTGAATTTTTATATTATTATTATTGTCATTGTTGCCACTGCTATTTTAACTGTTACTTTGCATTAACAATGAAAAGCAGTTTCCAAAAACCAGATTGTGACCTTGGGTTGCATCAATAGAAACATTATATATAGCAAGAGGGAGGTGATGAGCCATCTTTTCTCTGTCATGCTAGAGACACACATGAAGCATTCTGGTTTAGTTCTGGGTGGCCTCTAGTAAGAAGGACATTAATGAACTGGCATGGGTCTTCTGGAGAGAATGCAGGAGGGTGGCTTGTCCACCAGGAAGTGGAGGCTGTGTCTTATTCATCCACTACTGTCTTGTAGTTCTAAGAATTAAGAAAGATACCAATGGAATTCTATTCTATTGCATACTCTTCTAGGTAGTATAAACCAGGCATTTGACTCTCATACGTGAGAAATGTACTTAGCAGCGTGTGGAGGGTTTCAGCTATGAGCAGTTTAGGCTAAGGAAAGAGAAGACTGGAGGGGCAGCAGCCCAGGGGCTGTTTCAAAGGGCTGCTGAGGGGAAAAGGGCCCTGCATTGTCCTATGAGACTCCAGAGTCACGATCAGAGGGAGACAGTCTGGAGAGAGCTAAAAGAAGGGACCCACACTAGCCTAGGCTGCTCTGCCGCTGCATTAGGGGCTCCCCAGAAACTGACTGTGGAACCAGGACTTGAGGATTTATTTACATGCTGACAATTTATTAGCAAGGGGATTCTAGAAGTTCAAGTGAAGAGGAGGGGTTGTGAGGCCGGAAGAAGGAAGATGCATGCAGTGTGTGTTCCAGAGCGGGTTGTCTGTGGACAGTGTGGACCCACACTGAGGATTCTGGAAGATGCCTTGACACATGGGAGGCTTGGGCATTTGCCCACCAATTGCCACTGGCCATTGACTGAAGGCGTCATTAACTCCTTCCTGACTCTGGGTGGGGGCTGAGCATGCTTTGGGGCAGGAGAAAGTGCTGGGTGCAGTGAGCATAGGGGGTGGATGAGGGGGCAGGGGAGAGTGGCACCTGGTGGCATTGGGGGCTGGCAGTGTTTCCTGGCAGAGTCAGGTCCCTGGTGCCTAGTGGCTTCCCTGGCCCATGTGGGATCTTTGGGGCATCCTGGTTATGATGCTCACTTGAGAGATACTAATTCCAGACCTTGTTATACCACAGGTGATTGGGGAGCTTGGAGGTGGGTAGACATGGAGACAGAAGACATTTTTTTCAAGCTTTTTTCCTAAACCACCCACTCTGGACTCACTCTCAGCTAATTGCAACATGGGAGCCCACTCAGATGCTTAGCTGGTCACATGTGCCCAGTTTGTGGGTCCAAATGCACCCTCCACTGATGAGCGGTGTACCATTTACCTAGGGGGTGGGTTCTGGGGCAACAAGTTTGCGGGTTGCCTCTCCTGGCTTCTTCCTTGCAAGCAGAGAGACAGCAGGCAGGTGGTCACTCTCCCTGGAGTGGAGGGAGCTCAGATTTCCCATCTGGAAAATGAGGGGTTGGATGAGAAAATCTCTAATTCTGGAGCTGACATTTTCAGTTTCTGGAAAAGCTTGAATAAGACGTTAAAACAATTTATTATTTGAGCTGCCATTAAGCTATAAAGACCCCATGTGGAAATCAGGGCCATTATCCTGGTGTAGCAAAGTGCTTCCTCATATTTTATGAATTAAACGTGGCCCCATCAAAGCCCCTCGCGAGGGAGCACACGTGTGTTATAAAGCGGACCAGGCCGAGCGAGGTGGTGAGCAGAGGATAGTTATTGTCACTGATACGTGCCACGGAAAAGCAAGCATTTGGGGTTCCCATGAGAGAAGGAGCCTCACCTATTTTATTTTAATTTAAAAGGCACCATAAAAGAGCCATTTAATATACATATTCTTTAAAAAATATAGCTGTAATTAGTGCGTTCAGAGGCGGGGAGAGAATCTGTGTCCTGGCACGCTCCCATTTTACAGTCGGGGAAACGGCTGGCAGAGCAGTCATCTGCTGCACACAGGAGTTCTCAACGGGGGGCGACGCTGCACCCCAGGCACACTCAGCACCGTCTGGAGACATCCTTGTTTGCCACGACTGGGTGGGGTAGCTCCTGGCCCTGTGGGTGGGGGCCGAAGACACCCCTGAGCATCTCCCAACACAGTCCAGGCCGCCCCAAATGTCAGCGGTGCTGTGGCAGGGAGGCCCTGGCCCTGAATCACCCCACTCCCACCCCCCAGAGTCCTAACTTGACCTCTCCGCGGCTCCTGGGGCCCGCCTCCTGCGAGGGCACCGCGAGCCTTGGTCTCTGAGGTCTGCGATGGGCCGATGCTTAGAGCTGAGACATCACCAGCATCGTCCCTCTTTGAGAAGGTGGTGGGCCTTTTCTCTTCCACAGCTTCCACTTGCCACTGCACCGTGTTCCCTCTTACTACACTCTTCATCGTCGGCTTTTCCGTGAATTCTTGTCATAAACATTTCTGCAGTCTTAATAATCACCACTATTAAGGGCTTCGTACTACTCCCTCCTATTCACAGAGCACTAGTTCCTGATCATTCTGGTGCTGCTGGACATTTGTCTTATTTTTTGGTTCCTGATAGTTTAATAGCACAATGATTATCTTATTGGATAGAATATTTTTATTTGTGAAATTTTTTCTTTAGGACAATTTCCCAAGAGTCTGTCTCCCCTTTGTCTCATCTTCCCTCCTTCCCTCCCTTCTGTCCTTCCTTCCTTCCTTGATGTAATTAAAAATTTTGGAATGATAATGTATGTATATGATTTAAAATCCAAAGGCATAAAACAATGCACTCTAAAAAAGTCTTCCTGTTCCCAGCCACCCACCCAGGCAACCCCTTGTAGCAGTTTTCAATTATTCATCTACATCCATTTTTTAAATAAATGGTGTTACATTTTGCCCATGTTCTGTCTGTGGGTGCCTGTGGGCACAAATCTCCTTTAGATGGGGGCCGGCAGGGTGCAAAAGGCCTCTCTGATGAGATGACATTCGAGTGGAAGCCTAGAGGGCGGTAAGAGAGCAAGGAGGATGGTGTAGGAAGGAGAGGCAGTCAGTGCAAAGGCCCTGCGGTAGGAATCAACTGGCAGATTTGAAGCGCTCTGAGGTGGCCAGTGGGGCTGTTGGGGAATGAGAGAGATCAGATTGCTTTCGAGGGACCTGGTCTTACAGAGCCATGTGGACTGTGGTGTAAAATTTGGACTTTATTCTAAATACGCTGGGATGCCTTGGAGGGCTTTCAAGCAGGGAGGTGGATCAGATGTGATTTGCACTTAACAAAAGAGCATGCTGGTAGATG